GATTTTCGAGATTTTAAGATTTCTTCATGAGATTCTTATTCGAATGGTTAAGGGCTTTGTTATGTTTTTTTTCAAAAATGGCTCAAAGTCTCAAAAAATTTTAAATTTCACTACGTTTCCAGTTTCTGAGATTCTATATACTGAGAAGTCCAAAATTTTGGCTCGCAATTTTTGAAGATTTCCAATTTTCAAGAATTTGTACACATCCTATCAAAGTCCTGTCAACTTATTGTTTCTTGATTGTTTGGGAGGAGAAGGATTTTCGAGATTTTAAGATTTCTTCATGAGATTCTTATTCGAATGGTTAAGGGCTTTGTTATGTTTTTTTTCAAAAATGGCTCAAAGTCTCAAAAATTTTTAAATTTCACTACGTTTCCAGTTTCTGAGATCCTGTATACTGAGAAGTCCAAAATTTTTGGCTCGCAATTTTTTTGAAGATTTCCAATTTTTCAAGATTTTGTACCCATCCTATCAAAGTCCTGTCAACTTATTGTTTCTTGATTGTTTGGGAGGAGAAAGGATTTTCGAGATTTTAAGATTTCTTCATGAGATTCTTATTCGAATGGTTAAGGGCTTTGTTATGTTTTTTTTCAAAAATGGCTCGAAGTCTCAAGAAAAATTTTAAATTTCACTACGTTTCCAGTTTCTGAGATCCTGTATACTGAGAAGTCCAGAGTTTTTGGCTCGCAAATTTTTGAAGATTTCCAAATTTTTCAAGATTTTGTACCCATCCTATCAAAGTCCTGTCAACTTATTGTTTCTTGATTGTTTGGGAGGAGAAGGATTTTTCGAGATTTTTAAGATTTCTTCATGAGATTCTTATTCGAATGGTTAAAGGGCTTTGTTATGTTTTCTTTTTTTCAAAAAAATGGCTCGAAGTCTCAAAAAAATTTTAAATTTCACTACGTTTCCAGTTTCTGAGATCCTATATACTGAGAAGTCCAAAATTTTGGCTCGCAATTTTTGAAGATTTCCAATTTTCAAGATTTTGTACCCATCCTATCAAAGTCCTGTCAACTTATTGTTTCTTGATTGTTTGGGAGGAGAAGGATTTTCGAGATTTTAAGATTTTCTTCATGAGATTCTTATTCGAATGGTTAGAGGCTTTGTTCATTTTTCTTTTTAAAATGGCTCGAAGTCTCAAGAAAAATTTTAAATTTCACTACGTTTCCAGTTTCTGAGATCCTATATACTGAGAAGTCCAAAATTTTGGCTCGCAATTTTTGAAGATTTCCAATTTTCAAGAATTTGTACCCATCCTATCAAAGTCCTGTCATCTTATTGTTTCTTGATTGTTTGGGAGGAGAAGGATTTTCGAGATTTTAAGATTTCTTCATGAGATTCTTATTCGAATGGTTAAGGGCTTTGTTATGTTTTTCTTTTCACAAAAATGGCTCGAAGTCTCAAGAAAATTTAAATTTCACTACGTTTCCAGTTTCTGAGATCCTATATACTGAGAAGTCCAAAATTTTGGCTCGCAATTTTTGAAGATTTCCAATTTTCAAGAATTTGTACCCATCCTATCAAAGTCCTGTCATCTTATTGTTTCTTGATTGTTTGGGAGGAGAAGGATTTTCGAGATTTTAAGATTTCTTCATGAGATTCTTATTCGAATGGTTAAGGGCTTTGTTCATTTTTCTTTTTAAAATGGCTCGAAGTCTCAAGAAAATTTAAATTTCACTACGTTTCCAGTTTCTGAGATCCTATATACTGAGAAGTCCAAAATTTTGGCTCGCAATTTTTGAAGATTTCCAATTTTCAAGATTTTGTACCCATCCTATCAAAGTCCTGTCATCTTATTGTTTCTTGATTGTTTGGGAGGAGAAGGATTTTCGAGATTTTAAGATTTCTTCATGAGATTCTTATTCGAATGGTTAAGGGCTTTGTTATGTTTTCTTTCAAAAATGGCTCGAAGTCTCAAGAAAATTCAAATTTCACTACGTTTCCAAGTTCTGAGAGCCTATCTACTGAGAAGTCCAAAATTTTAGCTTGCAATTTTTGAAGATTTCCAATTTTCAAGAATTTGTAGCCATCCTATCAAAGTCTTGTCATCTTATTGTTTCTTGATTGTTTGGGAGGATAAGGATTTTCGAGATTTTAAGATTTCTTCATGAGATTCTTATTCGAATGGTTAAGAGCTTTGTTCATTTTTCTTTTTAAAATGGCTCGAAGTCTCAAGAAAATTCAAATTTCACTACGTTTCCAGTTTCTGAGATCCTATCTACTGAGAAGTCCAAAATTTTAGCTTGCAATTTTTGAAGATTTCCAGTTTTCGAGATTTTGTACCCATCCTATCAAAGTCCTGTCAACTTATTGTTTCTTGATTTTTTGGGAGGAAGAAGATTTTCGAGATTTTTAGATTTCTTCATGAGATTCTTATTCGAATGGTTAAGAGCTTTGTTCATTTTTCTTTTTAAAATGGCTCGAAGTCTCAAGAAAATTCAAATTTCACTACGTTTCCAAGTTCTGAGATCCTATCTACTGAGAAGTCCAAAATTTTAGCTTGCAATTTTTGAAGATTTCCAGTTTTCGAGATTTTGTACCCATCCTATCAAAGTCCTGTCAACTTATTGTTTCTTGATTGTTTGGGAGGAAGAAGATTTTCGAGATTTTTAGATTTCTTCATGAGATTCTTTTTCGAATGGTTAAGAGCTTTGTTCATTTTTCTTTTTAAAATGGCTCGAAGTCTTAAGAAAATTCAAGTTTCACTACGTTTCCAAGTTCTGAGATCCTATCTACTGAGAAGTCCAAAATTTTAGCTTGCAATTTTTGAAGATTTCCAATTTTCAAGAATTTGTACCCATCCTATCAAAGTCCTGTCAACTTATTGTTTCTTGATTGTTTGGGAGGAAGAAGATTTTCGAGATTTTTAGATTTCTTCATGAGATTCTTTTTCGAATGGTTAAGGGCTTTGTTATGTTTTCTTTCAAAAATGGCTCGAAGTCTCAAGAAAATTCAAATTTCACTACGTTTCCAGTTTCTGAGATCCTATATACTGAGAAGTCCAGAGTTTTGGCTTGAAATTTTTGAAGATTCCAAATTTTCAAGATTTTGTACCCATCCTATCAAAGTCCTGTCAACTTATTGTTTCTTGATTGTTTGGGAGGAAAAGGATTTTCGAGATTTTAAGATTTCTTCATGAGATTCTTATTCGAATGGTTAAGGGCTTTGTTATGTTTTCTTTTTAAAATGGCTCGCAGTCTCAAGAAAATTTAAATTTCACTACGTTTCCAGTTTCTGAGATCCTATATACTGAGAAGTCCAAAATTTTGGCTCGCAATTTTTGAAGATTTCCAATTTTCAAGAATTTGTACCCATCCTATCAAAGTCCTGTCAACTTATTGTTTCTTGATTGTTTGGGAGGAGAAGGATTTTTCGAGATTTTTAAGATTTCTTCATGAGATTCTTATTCGAATGGTTAAGGGCTTTGTTATGTTTTTCTTTTCAAAAAATGGCTCGAAGTCTCAAGAAAAATTTAAATTTCACTACGTTTCCAGTTTCTGAGATCCTATATACTGAGAAGTCCAAAATTTTTGGCTCGCAATTTTTTTGAAGATTTCCAATTTTCAAGATTTTGTACCCATCCTATCAAAGTCCTGTCAACTTATTGTTTCTTGATTGTTTGGGAGGAGAAGGATTTTCGAGATTTTTAGATTTCTTCATGAGATTCTTATTCGAATGGTTAAGGGCTTTGTTATGTTTTCTTTTTAAAATGGCTCGAAGTCTCAAGAAAATTTAAATTTCACTACGTTTCCAGTTTCTGAGATCCTATATACTGAGAAGTCCAAAATTTTGGCTCGCAATTTTTGAAGATTTCCAATTTTCAAGATTTTGTACCCATCCTATCAAAGTCCTGTCAACTTATTGTTTCTTGATTGTTTGGGAGGAGAAGGATTTTCGAGATTTTTAGATTTCTTCATGAGATTCTTATTCGAATGGTTAAGGGCTTTGTTATGTTTTTCTTTTCAAAAAAATGGCTCGAAAGTCTCAAGAAAAATTTTAAATTTCACTACGTTTCCAGTTTCTGAGATCCTATATACTGAGAAGTCCAAAAGTTTTTGGCTCTGCAATTTTTGAAGATTTCCAATTTTTCAAGATTTTGTACCCATCCTATCAAAGTCCTGTCAACTTATTGTTTCTTGATTGTTTGGGAGGAGAAGGATTTTCGAGATT